TTGATTTGTGCCTAAATTTAAACTATCTTCTGAAATCGGAATGTTACAAACAGGGGATTCTAGGCTAGTATGGACAGTCATATTGTCATCGTCTAATATTTGTTCGTTATCGTCAGGTGGTTCTGCTATAATGGAAATGTTGTCAAGAGAGATATTTTGGTTAAAATTGTCCATGTACTGAAATATAGGATTTTTTGGAGGGTCGGTTTTTTGTGCTTTAGTGGATCTTGTTTCCATGACATTAAAATTATTTGGGGGACGTGAGAGAGCATCGGCGTTACTATTTAATTTGCCTTTTTTATATAAAATTTCGAAGTCGTACTCTTCTAATCGTAATCGCCATCTGATTAATTTAGAATTTGGTTCTTTAAGCTGGAAAAGCCATTGTAGAGGTTTATGATCGGTCAATATTTTAAATTTTCTGCCGTATAAATACGGACGGAAGTATTTAGTAGCCCACACGATGGCTAAAAGTTCTTTTTCTATTACGCTGTAGTTAAGTTCATGTTCGTTTAATGTTCGAGAAGCATATGCGCACGGAAGGTCCGATCCGATTGGTCCTTGGCTTAAGACGGCACCAATTGCATAATTTGATGCATCGGTGGTTAAAATAAACTGATCTTCAAAATTTGGGTATTTAAGGATTGGCTCATTACATAAAAGACGTTTGCATGTATTAAAACAATTTTTGTACGCGGGATCATTGATGTTGATAGAGGCATCTTTTTTTAGGCAACTAGTTAAAGGTTTGGTTATTTTCGCGAAATCCTTTATAAATTTACGGTAGTACCCTAATAGGCCTAAAAATCCTTTTAACTGTTTGGGGGTTTTTGGAATTGGGTATTCGGTTATTGCTCTTATCTTATCAGGGTTTGGTTTTATGCCTTGGGTGGTTATTACGTGTCCTAAATAATTTACTTGTTTATGCAAGAATTCGCTTTTATCAAGTTGAATTTTAAAGTTAAATTCGCGTAGACGCTCAAAAACTAACTTAAGTCTATGGATATGTTCTTGTAAGGAGGTGGAAAAAATTATTATATCGTCTAAGTAAACGAAACAGGCTTCATTTTGGATTCCTCTAAGCACATTATCCATCACACGTTGAAATGTAGATGGAGCGTTTTTAAGGCCAAAATGCATACGAATGAATTCGTAATGGCCGTTTTCGACCGTAAAAGCGGTTTTTTCTGTATCTTTTTGGTCCACTTCTATTTGGTGGAAACCAGAAGCGAGATCAAGTGTGGTGAAGTATTGACTTTTACCGAGTTTATCCAAAATGTCGTTGATGTTAGGTATAGGATATCTATCATCCACAGTTTGCTCGTTTAATTTGCGATAGTCTACAACAACTCTCCATTTGGGTTTACCGGAAGCGTCTAACTTCTTTGGGACCACCCAAATAGGGGCTGACCATGGAGATTTGGAGGGTTTTATAATGCCTTGTTCAAGCATGTTTTCTATTTGCGATTTTACTTCCTGTTTATGTACGTATGGGTATCTGTATGTTTTAGTATGGATAGGTGTTTCGTTTTTTAACTGAATTTTATGTTTAATTGAGTTAGTAAAAGTTAAAGCTTTATTGTCAAAATGAAAAATATCTGAATAATTATTTAGTAATTTCTTTATTTCTCGATGTTCTTCGGAATTTAAATGTTGCAAGCGAACTTTACTTAAATCGAATTTAATTTTTGAAGTATTAAAGTAATTAAAGTTATTACATAAATAAGTATTGGGACTTTTAATTTCAAAATCGGATTCGGGAATAACTTTGAATGGATCTGTTAAATTTATACATAATGTTTCACTGGTAGTATTAATTATAGTAGTATGAGCATTATTATTATTTATTTCTAATAAACATTCTGGAATTTCAACTTCGCCAAAATTTTGGTGTGGTAAAATACCATTGCCATTTTTTACATTTTCTACGTTTATCATTACTATTTGTTCTGAATTTGGATGCACTACTATATGGTTGTTATAGTCGCTTAATTCTTTAAACTTAATGTCTATTGTTGTGTGTGGTAAAATGAGCTTATTAGATTTTAAATTTATTGTTGCATTAAATTTTTGAAGACTATCTAGCCCTAGTAAACAATCGAAATATTTATGGAACTTAAATATGTGAAATTTAATGAAACTGTTACCTAAATTAAAAATTTCTGGACATGGAATATTAATGCTATATTTTTCTTGGCTTGTGCCGTGAGCGGTGGAAATTGTATAAGGGTCGTACCGAATATTTTTTGTAAAATGTTTTTTTACTATTTCTGGGTTAACGAATGATTTGGTGGAACCAGTATCGATTAAACATTTTAAATTTAAACTATTTATAGGGATATTAATGTAGGGCAGTTGAGATTTTGAAAAGTCAATATTGAGAAGTTCTATATGGTTTCTTCCGAGGCTTCTGCGACTAAAAAATGTGCGTTGTCTAATTCTAAACATTCGTTATGAGAATTATTTTGGTCAATGTCAATGTCATTGTACTCGGTTATTTCGACTTCCGATTCAGGGTCGTTAATGTTATGCAGTTCTTCGGAAATGAAGTTACGTGGTTGTCCAAAATTATTTCTAAAATGATTTTGACTACTGTTATTTGTCGGATTTTTAGTGGTGTTTCTAGTACTTATGCTCATTGGTGTTGGTTTGTTTTGGGGAATATAGTTAGGGTTAGGTTTAAAAACATTTGATCTTGAATTCTTAGGATAAGATTGAGATGGATGAAATTGGGGTTTATAGTCTATGGCGAGAGGCCTTTGGTTATAGATTGGCTTTGGTTTTGAGAAATTGGAATTTTTATCTTGAATATTAAAGTCATTTGTTAAAATGTGTAGTGCCTCATTTAGGCTATTGGGTTGCCTGGTAGATAAATAATCTCCAAGCGGATTATTTAAATGTTTAAGAAATACGCGTAACGCTAATTTCTGAGAACTTGTCGTCAGTGTTACTACATCCTGTGCATTTGTACCGTGGGTGTTGATATATCCTACTTGCAGATTAAGATTTGTCTGTACTTTGGTGTAAAATTCTAAAGGTTTTAAGTTACTTTGTTTCATATTACATAACTCTATTATTAATGTTTGTAAATCGCGTTTATCGGCGTAAGAAGCCAGAAGGGCATCTTTTAAATCTTTCCAAGTATTTATTGGAAATGAAGCAATTGCCTCAGCGGCGGTACCTTTGACTTTGTTTTTAATAGATTTCAATAGAAAAGTATTTAAAAAATCGTTTGGATCATTTTTATTGTAAAATTTATTTAATAATTGCTCACTTGTAGCAATAAAATCACTTAAAAGTGATGGGTTACCTGTGAATTCAGGAATAATTTTTAGATATTCTTTTTGAAAAGACATATTTAACGAATTATTAGTATCTTCTAAATTACTATTTAAATTTAAATTTTGCAACTGATTTAATATATCCTCAGTGCTAATTGTCGTAGAATTTTGAAAATTTAATCTACGAGGAGGGGAGTTTAAAGGAATTATCGAATTATTTTGATCTATATCTGAATCAGTATCCGTTAATGAAATTTATGACTTACCAGTACCAAATTTTCATGGCTCTGGAAACCTTAGTTTGAGTGTTCTGATAACTTCTTTGAAAGTTGCACAATGAAAGTCCGTCCGAACTGGTGGTTCACTATTTGCAATTTTCTGCTCGAACTTTAGTCAATGAAAGTCTATCCGGTCTGGTAGTTCACTTTATAAAGTTCTGGGTTCGATTTTGCACTATAAAGAATTAAAATTCACCGATTTTTCGATGTGAAGGTCCTTTCGCGAGGTTCACTTTTTGAAAAAAATCGTTAGGCTTATCCTGCAACGACTGCGCCACTTATATTTCCAAAAACTAAAACTTTGTTTTTTAAAAATTTTATTTATATTTATTTTATAACAACTCGAAACAAAGGTTGACATAAAAGTGTTTGTAAAACATGTAGTACATATGTTATAAGTTCGGTTTGCTGACCAAGCTCCTGGGTGCTTGGTTGGCGTTTTTCTGGGAACTGCTATATAATATAAAGGAATTATGCATGTATTTTTGTAAAACATTTTACTGTATGTCCCTGGGTTGGCTTTACAAGAACAAATAATTTATTTTTAGATAAAAAGTTTTTTTGTAAAAAATATAAAATTCTATAATCAGAAAATTTCATTGACATTTTGTCTTTAAAGCCTACCCAGGTACTATTCTGCCTTGCTTAATGAAAATGCCGTAACCAACATTTTTTGATTTTCTGCCTATGACATTTTTTTACTAGAACATTTCATCCTGGATCTATTATTTTTACAGAAAAAGACATATAAAGGTAGATACGACTTCTTGAGTAGTAAGAATGGATGCAGAATGAATTTTTATAGTAAAAAAATGTCATAAGCTGAAAATCGCGATTTTCAGCTACAGCCATATATGGCATTTTCATTGGTGTCGTCCCATCTTGGGACCTCCTATCTCGGGGCCGAGAAAAAATTTACAAGTTTAAAAGTGCCATCTGAGGACCTAAGTAAAAGGATGATGATATGGAGGAAGACCACATTTTGGTTTTTGCAAACATAACAGGGAGGGAGTGCCTACAACAAACAAGTGATTTTTTTGGTGATGGAACATTTAAAGTTGTTGTAAACAATTTGATCAACTCTACACCATTCACTGCGATTTGGGAAGTAGCCATAAATCGACAAATATAATTCCGATTTTATATGCTTTGCTGCCAGATAGAAAAGAAGAAACATATTCGCGATTGTTTTTTGCTATTAAAAATGTGGTTTTCGAATTCCAACCGAAAACATCTTTGAAAGATTCATGATAAATGCAGTGAAAAAACATTTTCCCAATGCTATATTAAAAGGCTGCAATTTTCACTTTAACCAAAGTATTTGTAGGAAAGTTCAAGCATTAGGACCAGTGTAAAAATATAAATTTGACAGCACGTTAAAATGTGTGCTGCTTTATCGCATTTACCCCCCGAAAAAATCGAAGATGGATGGCTTTTTATAATGGATTATTCACCTATAAACACCGCGCTGGAAGAGTTTAATGACTACTTTGTTGGAGAATGGCTTGAAAATGATGCAATTGGAAATATGTGGAATTGCTACAAGGAAAAACATAGAACTACAAACTCTTTGGAAGCCTGGCATAGCAAATTAAACAGAAGGTTGGGAAAAGTCAATCCCAATGTCTGCCAATTGGTCTCTGCTCTAAAAGAAAATGCCATACACAACACTTTTTTACAAAACCGTCTAGAAATCAACCTGACACCGAGCAAACGCTCGCAATATAGCAATATATATAAATTTGGATGCAGCCATTGAAAAAACTATTATAGATTTGGAGCAAAACAAAGTTTCACTGGCTCAAACTATGGAAATTTTACAACGTATCGTTCAGTTTATTTAAAATTATTGCAGTATGTATAATTATTTATATTTATGTATATATATTAAACAAATTTTATAAATATTTTTAATTTTTTGTTGCTGTTTTATTAAGTGCTGTTAATATAAAAGAAGTTAAAGTGAGAATCTGATTTGTTAAACAAGAATTGGTGTTATCTCATATACTTTTTAAATCTTAATTAATGCATTTGAACTAAATTGTTATACATATGTTATGTTATATGTTGTACATTTTTTTTCCTTTTGAACTATTGTATTTTTGATGTGGATTTAGTAACTGAATAACCATTCAGAAATTATATACACACACAACAAAGTCAAATATTTAATACATAGATAGTAAATTTTATTGCGAACTTTTTCTTTCCTTTTATACTTGGTAATTTCTATAAAAAGTAAGTATTTGTGCCTGACTAACGTAAGTAAATTACCTGGCTCCCAAAGATAATTCTTAACAACTTTCTCAACCCACTCCCCTCTTCACTGTTCAGCTAGTCGCCGGCACCGGTTACACCGAAATTGTGTTAAAATAAAATTGATATCTTAAAAATAAATTTGGGTGTAACACATTGAAATAATGCACCAAACGATGAAACACCTTTATCTACATGGGAAATTTGTTAAAAGATTGGATAAGGCAATAGGTGCTATTAGGAAATTTGTTAAAGATAAATTGTTTCAGAGAATTATTATGCTGCATAAAGGAAAGGTCTCAACCAAAATATATTATAAAGTATACTTAAAAAGTACATACATAATATTATTATGTAGAGTCAAAAAAATAAAAAAAAGTATTCCTATGAAAACTAAAAGTAAACCTCATGAATTAATAAAAAATATGTCAAAAAATTGCATGAGTTAAATTTTTTGTTTCAGTAGTTTTTGAGATAAGTATTTAATAAAAAACAACAGAATTATTTACATTATTTTTAAATAACATGCTGAGCTCACAAATTTTCCAGTAAAAACATGTTTAAAAACACATGACAGAATTATTCTTATGGTTCTTTGGATTTTTTATAATATCTAAAATTAACATATATTCATGCAAACTGAAAAAAAAACTATTTTGGGCCACCACCACCAAGTTAAACTTTTTTACATCGCCGACGTTTTGTAGTTCTTAATATTTTTTAGCATTTTGACAACAATCAAAGAGAAAATGCCCCTTAAAAGAAATGACCTTGTTACTGGGTCATTTTCAAGAAACACCCGCTTTTAGGAAAATGAAGATCAAATTTTTTTTGCTTAAATTGACTTTTGGTTGTATTTTTATAAATGTTTAGAGTTTTGTTTACTTACATTTAAGACAGGCAGTGCACTTTTTAATTTTTTTTTTTACGTTTTTTTTCAGAAAAATGTGTTTAGCTAGCTTTATATGTCTCCACTGTGTTACCAATTTGAAATCCAAAATTTAATTCAATAAAAAAAGTTGTTATAAATATAATTTAAAATAAAATGTACTTCACAAACTTTTGACTCCAATTTTATGTTCTATTAAAAATTGTATGCCTCTTTTAAATATTTATGTCAGTTAAGTTACTTTTTAAAAGACACCATTCCGATTTTTTGTTAAAAAAACAATACCATTATTATTTTCTTTTAGTCACTGTCAGAGTTAAACTCTAATTTATAAACAGGTATAACCAAGTGATAGTAAAATCATTTCAAGGATTTTTTTAACAAAAATCAAAAAAATTAACGAAATAGACATTGGTATCACAACGGACTGGGATACACAAAGGACTTAATCAGATAACGTAAAAAAGAAACTATATATGGTGGTACGATTTTAGAGTAATGCATAAACAAAATCCCTTGTAGTGGTGCTCACTTGCAAAATAACAACTTAGATTTCTAAATTATAGACACCCTTTTTCTTTTCTATAAGCTGGTGTCTTTAGTACTTGTATATTCCCTTGGATGTAATCTATATCGTGAGTAATCACAAATAATTTTAAATTGGTTTATCATAAACTACTTTTAATAAAAGCGACGGTAAATATCCACTTTGTTGTCGAAAAATTCTATTGCGTTACCCTAAATTTCATTGCGTTACCATAAGGTAACGTAATGGACTCGGTAACGCAGTGGACAAAGTATTGTGAAACCATATTTAAAAAATAATAATAAAACATTACAGTCATTAATTACTCTCAATGAACTTTAGTGCCCTAAAATAAACATAAACATGAAAAATAGTATTTTTTTCTTACCTTATTTTAATTATTTTTTTGAGTAACTTAGCGGACAAACAATTATTACATTCGCGTTACCCGCACCTGTTTCAACCGATATCTTTTTCCTGATTGAATAAATAAATTCAGCTGGGTAATGTGTACGTCCGAACATCATTTGTTAATTACGTGAGTGCCAAAAAAGTTGCCATATATATGTTTTTTTAAATATTCTATCGGTAACGCGACGGACGTAACGCAACGGAAAAAATGTCTGGGGTATGAGTCAAATTTAAAAAAAGTAGATTAAAATTAATTAATTTATATATAAATTGTTTACTTTATTAACTAAGGATGTTATGGATTGCTATAAAGCAACACAAAGTTCTGGTTATTCAATATTTAAAAAAAAAACATGTATGTACGTTTTATAAAACGCTAATGGGACGAAAATGTTTGTTTCACAAGTTTCAAAATTAAAAAAATATATATTCTGAAATAACTAAACAAACATTTTCTGAAAGAGTTTACTAAGGGCTTGTGAGGCTTTCACTTGGTTTTTAAATCAATAAGATCCGATAATTTTTAACAAAGTTATTGGAATTCAAACTTACGGACAGCGGAAGGCGGGTGTTTTTTGAAAACGACCCTACTATGAAAGATATAGGGAACATAAAAACATCATTTAACATTAGTGCACCAAAGTGATGTTAAAAGTATAGCACTGTATTTTGAAGAATGTAAAACGTTGGGTATAGATAATCCCATTATATTTTACAAAAAACAAGGGCAGCTTATCAATAAGTTCCCTTTCCAGGAAAAAGATATTTGTTTTATAATAATTTATCCAATACAAAAACAGTTTATAGAGGATATAGCATGGTCTAAAAAATTATGATTTTGAAATGACCACAATTCTAGTATTGGATGAATTTCGAGAGGGTTTCCAGTAGCCTTTATGTTTTCAAACAGAAAGGATCAGTTTGTTTTTGAAGTGTTTTTCAAGGTTATTAAGAAGGCGATAAATAGGGAGCAAATTCACACTAAAACATTTATGACAGATATGGCAACTGTATATTTTAACGAATTTAAATCTGTTATGGGAAGCTTTTCCACCAGTCACCTCTTTTGTTCCTGGCATGTGGATAAAGCTTGGCAACAAAATTTAGCCAAAGTCAGCATATTGAAAAAAGAAAATGGGTCTATAAATCATTAAAATACTTACAAATATTGTATGCATGTAATGTATGTGTATTTATGACCAGGGGTATCTGCAACAATTGGAAACAACCATTGTGTTACCATTTTGTGCATAATAATTGTACATCAAAAGAATTAGAGTTGGCCATACTAACTATTGTAAAATATGCTTGTGGCGACCGGTGGTCATTATAGATGTTACGACATTACGCATACATGCATTGCGCGATTAGTTCATTATTCAGTTAGCCTTACGCACTGAGAGCGATCATATGTATTTACCTATAGATTACTAATAAATAATTATAAAGTGATTAAGCGTGTATATTTATAACACAGCCCAAGAAGCAGAGATAATACTAAGTGGAGGTACCACAATTGGCGACGGGGATCTCGAACAAAGGTAAATTTAGAATTTTTGCCGTACAAATAACTAATCGAAAGGCACAAATAGTTTTTGGTTCCTTGCGGTTAGAAGTTGATTAAAAATAATTGGTAGTGGCTGTGAGTTGCCAAAATACAAGTTGGTCAACAAGACCAGTAGTGGCTGTGCGTTGCCAAATTACAAGTTGGTCAAGAAGACCAGTAGTGGCTGTGTGTTGCCAAATTACAAGTTGGTCAAGAAGACCAGTAGTGGCTGTGTGTTGCCAAATTACAAATTGGTCAAGAAGACTAGTAGTGGCTGTGAGTTGTCAAATAGAAAATTGGTTGAAAGAACTATTAGTGGCTGTGTGTTGCAGAATAATATTAATAATAATACTGGTTAAATTAACCGCAAGGAAGCAAGTAACAATTTAGGTGCAAGAAAAAAAGGAGATTTACTTGTAAGTACAATGTTGCTGTTTATTCATCTATAGGTGATGGAATATTCCGGGATAAAGCCATTCCTGTGCGAATCCATTGACAAAGCGGTCCTTAGATCGGAGTGGTCAAAATGGCTTCAACCATTACAGTTCTATTTAGCTGCAGAAGAAATTACGGATTCAACCAAGAAGTTGAATAAACTTTTGCATCTAGGCGGAACCCAACTGCCATAAGTAGCCTATAATATACCAGGGGCAGTGACCACAGTTAATGAAGCACATGAGGACATTTTCCAAATTTTGGTTAATAAATTAACTGAACATTTCTCACAAAAACAGAATTCAACTTTTGAGAGACAAGTCCTCAGTAATTTAAAACCTGAGGAAGGAGATAACTTCAACAAATTTCTTTTGAAAGTACGAAATCAGGCTAGCAAATGCACACTTGGGTCCACTGCAGAAGTAACTAAATCTTTACCTGAAACAAACAAGATTGTAAGTTAATACATGTGCCTTTTGTGCAGTAATATGGGCTGTTAAAATAAAAAAATAAATGGCATTGATATCAACAAAAACATAGGAGTTATGATTTTTGTCCCGATTTCCCATTTACTCGTTGTACTGTGCGTCAGCAGAAAAACATCAGATGTTCTAAAGCCATATGGCGGCGCAGGACTAGAAATACAAAGGAAATTCCAAACTACGATTGGTACTCTTGGGCGTCCAGAAGTCATAG